GAGACGGACAGCAGGGGGCAGATCCTGGAGTCAAAATGGGTTGTCTTAGGAATTGGAAAGTCATTCTGAGACAGAGACCTGAACAGATGGCCTTCTGAGGAGGGGACATAGGGGACTGGCTCCTAGGGAAGCTGTCATTTTGGATGAGGAAGGCTAAAACCTCAAGCAGAGAGAGATAGAGGATTGAATCAAAGGTGGAAAAGATTTGCCTCCCTAGGGCAGGGAGGGTTTAGCTGGGCGTTGGTGCCGCTGGGCAGGCTGAACGCGAATGTCTCCTGGAAGAATTTAGGACCAATAGCAGGTCCCCGGTGTTGGAGCCTGTAGTAAGCAAAGTGCAGGCCGACCTGGGTGGGGAACAAATCACTTCCTGCCTCGCAGTCCTTAAAAGCCTAGCAAGGCGAGGGAATGCACCACGGGCCGCTGGGCGGGGACACAGGCGACTGGCAGATCGGACCGGCTGAACTTCCCGGGTTGGGCAGTAGCTCCTCCGAGTTGTGACGCTCCTCGTCCCGCCCAGCAACCCCTCCTTCCTTACCCCGCGCCCGCCTGGTGGTCCCTCTGCTCTTTCTTCCCATCGCTCATCGCCCACACCGGCCGTCCAGCCAACTAACTTTCGGTAAGGCTGGGATACACTCTCCACTCCAACATCACCCCAACTTTGGCTACCACGGCCCCCTTCCTGGGCCTCTCGGGTGGGGAAGAAGTACCCGGAAAGCCACGTGTCCTCAGCGGCGGAGGTGCCGGGAGCCCACGTGGCCTCCCGGGCCGGCTTGATTCGGCCCGGCCTCATCGACTGCATTTCTTGCCCTGGCAGGACCATGGCCAACCTCGAGCGTACCTTCATTGCCATCAAGCCAGATGGCGTGCAGCGCGGCCTGGTGGGCGAGATCATCAAGCGCTTCGAGCAGAAGGGGTTCCGCCTGGTGGCCATGAAGTTCCTTCGGGCTTCTGAGGAACACCTGAAGCAGCACTACATTGACCTGAAAGACCGTCCTTTCTTCTCAGGGCTGGTGAAGTACATGAACTCGGGGCCCGTGGTGGCCATGGTCTGGGAGGGGCTCAATGTGGTGAAGACAGGCCGAATGATGCTGGGAGAGACCAATCCAGCTGACTCTAAGCCAGGCACCATTCGAGGGGATTTTTGCATTCAAGTTGGCAGGTAAGTGTGTGTGTGTGTGTGTTAAGAGAGAGGGAGAGGGAAGGGAATACAACTCGAAGTGGAGCATACAACATTTTGGGCATACCCCAAGTTTACGAAAACCTGAAAATACAACATGGAAATTATCACTAAACACTTCTGTGAATGATTGCTTAAAATTTGTAATTGAGACACTCACTGTACAGAGAGCTGCATGTGATAGTTTCTACATGGGAAACAGGGTTTAACCTCACCATGTAAAACCTAACCCTCTGAGTTTTCCTAAGCCATAATTTGTACCCAAACTGTAGATTCAGATGCAATAAAAGGATTGTTACTAATAAGCAATGGCTTGCAAATCACTTTAATTAAGAAAATGCATGATTTTAATCCACACTTGGGAGGCAGGCAGATCATGGAGGTCCAGGCCAGTCTGGTCTGTAAGCAGAGTTCTAGGACAGCCAGGGCTACACAGAGAAACTCTCAGAAACCCAACCAACTAGCCAGCCAGCCAGCCAGCCAGCCAAAGACAATGCAGAGGGCTGAGGCTGTAGCTTAGTTGGCAGACTGCCTGCCTGGCATGAAGGAGGCCATGAGTTCAATTTCCAGCCTATGTAAATTAGATAAGCTGGCACATTTGGGAGGCAGGAAAATCAGAAAGTTCAGTCATTGTAAGCTGCATAGGAAATAGACTAGCTCCCCCCAAGGGGAAAAAAAATCAGGATTGGCTTTTGATTTGGAGGCTTGCCTGCTTCTATTTTTCAGAAGGAACTTTTCTTTGGCACTCGTAGCAATCTTGGGTTATAAATACTCTTGAAGGGGAAACTTGGACGTACGGCTCTTTTTATTTGGGCACTTTTATAGATTTTTAAAAAATTTTTGGTGTGATATTTAAAGGTTTTTCCGAGTGTTCTGCTTACATATATGAGATGCTTTGGAACTGAGTTATGCATTGTTGCGAGCCACCATGTGAACTGAAACCTGGGTCCTCTGCAATTGCAAGAGCAACAAGTGTTAACCGTTTATCAGTCTCTTCAGTCCTATCCAATGGATTTCACAGCACTATCAGCCCTACAGTTGGTTTTGGGATCATTCAGTGTCAGGTGGGCCTTTGACTGAAAAGGTCTGCAGTGTCTGCCCTTTGCTGTTACCTATTAAATGGACTCTGGCACTGTAATACACCATAATAAATGAGCTTTCTTTTTTAGGAACATCATTCATGGCAGTGA